TAATTAATATATTATATATAATTAATTAATTAATTATATATATATATATATATATATATATATATATATATATATATATATATGTGTGTGTGTGTGTGTGTGTGTGTGTGTGTGTGTGTGTGTGTGTGTGTGTATGTATGTGTGTGTGTGTGGGTTTAGGGTTTTAGGGTTTAGGGTTTATATTCCTATATTTGTACATACATTCCAATATTTAAACATATATATCCCGCATCCGTCGAAAATAACTAGTGCGCCGGTAGACGACAATGAACCATCCGATGCGATGCCGCCGGAAGTGACGGAAGATGGCGAGGGACCCGGAGAGGAGGACGAAACCAATCTGTTCTGGGCAATTTGTAAACTGTACCAAATCGAGGATGGCAAGCCAACTGTAAGTACAGACACCCGGCGCTTGGATTACATCACCTCGAGCACGTTGCCTTCCTGTCGTCGGTGTAGTCAGGGACATTGTTTATATACATGGGGTTGTGTCTGGGCCTGAGCACTAACGCGCACATTGTGTATGTATTGGATTAGTGTGGTCATTGGGATCTCAGTACAGCCATCGTAACATGGATTGTGTGTGCCATACCCTCGTGTGGTATTTTGGAGCATGTTTGCACCTCTACGCGTACGTCCGGCACATTGTATCATGTTATACCTGCGACAGATCTCCGTGTGGATGTCCATAGGTCAGAATGCGAGGGCAATCATACCAAGGATACCCCCTCACGTTTTCTTCTCGGACACCTCTCGTGAGTATTTTATATCTAGGCTTACTCTTCTGCTGTATTCCTAAACGATCTGTTCTCCACTTACCTCCATCCCGCCCGTGGTTGTCTGCACCCACCCACAGCCGCACGGCGTAGGCACCATCCGGCTCAATCGTTTCCACAAAGGCCCCAGTGAAGGCCGCCACCGCATACTCTACCGAGACCAAAGTGTGATCAGAGAGCTGCGTCTGAACCTGTTCCTGTTCCCACTACTGTCGCCCAAGCTGCGGGGGCCCAAGGATGTGGGCATGTCCTTTTTACAGGACCAAAACGGGCAGAAGGCTTTACAGAACTACATTGTCAAGTTCAGGGATGGGGCGAGCGCGGAGAAGTTTGTGAAGCTCATTGAGGAGAACCGTGGTAGTGACTAAGTAGATAGACATTCTTTTATTGCCAGCTTAACATGCTCCTCTCCTCTAAACCACGGCCTACGAGAATACGTGCAACCGAGAGCAAACGTGCAACCGAGAGCAAACGTGCAACCGAGAGCAAACGTGCAACCGAGAGCAAACGTGCATGCAATACTAGTAGTGAGTGACAAGCAAATAAGTCTTCGACAGGGCACGGGGGCTGGTAATAAAGTAGTGCGAAGAAGAACAATCAGTGGCATGTGTCCGTCGGTCGCGGGCGGTCTGTGGTATGTTCTGGGTCAGTCGCACTACTATGTGAATGTTCTCGTCGGGTTAATTTGTACAATGTCTGCTAGAGGTTTATTCGTGTGGGGATTATTTCTACTAGAGGTTTCTTCGTGTGGGGAATATTTCTACTAGATGTTTATTCGG